AGCGGGCAGAGTGCTCCTGAGGAGTGGTGGAGGGCTGGATGCCAGTGGCTTGCTGGCTCATGTTTTGGGACCACTGGGTTAGGGGCCCTGGTGGCCTCTTCTGGCTCTGGGCTGGCAGGCTTGGAGCTGGCGCAGGCACTGTGGCCAGGGTCTACCCCTTTAATGGCTCCGGGGCTGGGGGAGAGGAGAGTAAGTTTTCCTGGTTGTGCCCACAAGGGCTCCCTGGGAAGGGCTGGAGGCCCCTTATTTCGAATTAAGTGTCTACACAGAACTTAATTCAAATAGCTATTTCGAATTTGGCGTTACTCCTCGTAGAATGAGGTTTACCAAATTTGAAATAAGGGCTTCACTATTTCGAATTTATTTCGAAATAGCAGTTTGCCTGTGTAGATGCTATTAAAGTTAATTTGAAATAACTGCTGTAGTGTAGTGTAGACATACCCTAATAGTGTAGTAGTTTATTAACTGATAAGCAAAAGCGTATAGGTTAACGCTATAGACTACACGCACCTCTTCCCCACTCCCGCTCCCAGTACATTTTTTAGCAGGGTGGCCAGCAACTCAGCTCAGTCCTGGCTCATGACAGGTCCAGGACCTACCCCTGCTTTGGCTCTGCATTTAAAGTGTATTAGGAGTTGGGCGGGCAGACAGCCCAGGTCAGTTCTGGCTTGCGCCAGGTCCAGGAACTCAGACCCACCCTACATAAGGGCTGCTGCCACCCCGCGCTGCTACCTTTTTATCAGAGGCAACAGCACAGGGTGACAGGCAGTCGGTCCATGAGGGGAACTGGTTTTTAAACTGCCTCTCCTCACAGACCATCTCCTGATACAGAGGCAGCAGTACGGAGTTGCAGGGGGCTCCTTGGGAGTAAGGCACACTGCTGCGGGCCTACAGAATAGTTGACTAACCGACTAACCAATAAGACGTCATGATATTTAACATCCCTATGAGCTAGCTGTGGAGACACATTTGAGGGCTGTGAGGCTTATACATAGTGATGTGCCAACAGTCCCTCGGACCTCTGGGGAAAAGAAGAGCTGCCATCAGAACTGCCAGGTGGTGCCTCCAAACTCCCTGTGCATGTAGCCAGGTATCATACATATAGTAGCCCAACATCTATGACTCTGTAACGCTGAAACGCTGGCTGTTCCCTCTGGGCGGCGCTGTTGCCTCCCGCCGTGGTGCTCAGCTGACTTCTGCGTCGCTCAGCCGGGCCGCCACACGGGAGCAAGCGGCACAAATGGCCGTTTGGGCCCCGCACTCCTCTTGCAGCACCCCCATGCTGCATGGGGAGCACGGACCCCAAATGGTCGCTTGTGCTGCTTGCTCCCGCGCAGTGGCCTGACTAAGTGGAGCAGAAGTCAGCCAAGTGCCACGGCGGGAGGCAACAGTGATGCCCATAGGGAACAGCCAGGGGGCGGGGCCTGGACGAGCATGCATCTCTGACGTCAGGAAAGGGTGCCGGATTAGAAAGGAGGAAAGCGGAGCAGACACAGAGGATGCGGAGGAGACAGAGAGGATGACAGAGGAGGCGGAGGGCAGCGAGGCTAA